TCGAGCCGAACCATTCGTCCTGCAGCTATATATAGCTAGCAAAGCTGCAGCCTGTCTATACCACGTATTGTGCCGCTTAATTCTCACTTTCGCTTTATTTACTATTTGCTTTATTCTCCTACAAAAGTTGTTCTCTTTGATATTGATATTTAAAAAAAAAACAACTCCATAATCTAGTTGAAACAAAAAAAATTGTTATCATCAGATCTTGTTGAATTTTATATGCGATCGTTGTGACTGTGCTATGTGATTTTGCTTTAATTTCATTGAATGAGTGTGTGGCTTTCACAAATTTTACATTATAAAAACTAAATTAATAGACCGTGTTTACTAAGGGCCTGGCCGCATGCATAAAATTTCGAGAACTAACGCGAGCAACACGAATTAGATACATTGCGGTAAAATTGAAATAAGGTAACTGCGGGTAATAAGGCCTAGATAAGGGCAAATCGAAAATAAAATCAGAAATATCTAATTTGGTCTACAGATTTTAATAAAAATCATTAGTTTACTACAGTTTCTATAAAGTATGAACGAATAATTGTAACATTTGCCATAAATAAAAACAAAATTAAACATTTCTAAAAACCTTGCTAGTAGGCCTTATTTTACTATGGTAGGGTAATAACACGTACTACTTTAACGAACTCAAATAATCAATTTATACGTAATATATTTAATATTTGTGATCAATAATCATATGAATGCAGCAATTAAGACTTAAAATTCTAAAAAAATATATAAATTGCCTCGCCTAACAGTACTTACAACAAACAAACCCACTCCTCGTGATTATCATCAGTGCGTCGGTTGTGTCAAGAGTCGAGTTGAGTGTTAGGTTGAGTTGAGAGTTGGGTTTATTGTTGGGTTGAGTGTCCTCCCAACCAAATTTCTGTCACAGCGGCCAGTCTCAACGGAGACTAGCCCATCAGCACAGTACAGGATTATAGTATCCGAATGTATGCGCAAGCACAGGTGCACTCTCTGTTCCCTCACAATCATCAAATCGCAATCCAACACGGTCCGAGAAAGCTTAGACGCAGGACCAATAATTTGCACATAATTTAATAGCTTCTAATGTCAAAGTCTTAATTCTTCGACACACTTTGTCTTTGCACTGTTTGGACAGCTGAAACCAGGCCTTTTTCTGACTAGGACATTAGTTTAATAATAAAATTTATAACATTTTAAAAGTGATATAAAATTCATAATAAAACAAAAAAACTACACAAGTAAAAGGAGTATAAGGCCTAGTGAAATTTAGTAGGGCTTAATAACAGCCGACCAAGTATTTAAGAAAAACCAAATTAAAAAAAATTGACCACGATACGTGACTCAAATCTTCAAGATCAAAAAAACATATATTCATAGAGATAAAGATTACGATTTCAGATAGCTAAGTGTAATTCTACAAAATGTACCTACGATTTATTTGGCGTGATTTTTATTATTGATGCAGTGCGGTCGTATCTTATGATAGATAATGCAACTCTGGTGGCAGGAGTCGGGGTAGCGCGTCTCTGCAAACTTGTAGAGACATTATCATGCAATAGGAGTCTGTTATTATCTCGTTAAGGGAGTGCGGTTGTTATAAATTCAATTTTTGTAATTTAGGCCATAGTACCTGCAGGCACTAGTGAATTGCAGTTATAAGTATTATTTGTTAGCTCAGGAAACTTTGTGAGCTCCGCCAACACGCACTGGGGATAACTCAACAAATTTTTCCCGGCTACATTATACCTTTCCCTTCATGAAAGTAACGGAAGACGGCAGTGAGATTTCTACAGATTGCAAAACTAATCCCTCAGAACTCCACGAGTATATTTACCATGTGATTTAAGATTAAGGTGTGCCGATTCAATGATCGCCAGTCTGTCCGAAATCAGTCGGACTGAGGGAGTTCTCTCTACTTAAAAGAGGCCTTTGACCAGTGGTAGTTTGTTTTTGTGTTAAGCGTCATCCATCTTAAACATATTAAATGTTCTTTTGCGGTTTTTGAACTAAGACTCCATATTATATTATTAGCGTCTTCTACACGCAACAGGAAATTGGCAATTACAATGAATAGGCCACGATGGAATGAATTGGCCGCGACGCAAGGCGACGACGTCTATGGCTAGCCAATCGTAGTGATCGATACGTGGTATCGTATTACCAGTACAATCTTTTACTGGATAATATCTTTACAACAGAACCAACCATACAAATATAAATATTAATATGAAACCAACACTTCCAATGTCCATTTTTGAAACTTTACAGGGGAGCAAAAAGAAATTTTGTGTGCCGAATATTGTTGAAGATAATAGATTTTAGATTAAGAGACCACACATTTTTCGAAGACCCTATTTTCCTGCCACTTCTCTGAAAGGGTCATGTTTCCCGAACCGGTGTAGATTTTAACGTCATCTGGTGACGATCATAAGGACTTTTTACGAGAGAAGTTTTGAATTTAAATTCGAATTCACGTGTTGTTCCACTTTCAGTTGTTGACCACTGAGGTGGCCGGAGAATATTATTACTAAGCAAAATTGTTTGTCAACATGAAGGAATTATGTGCATAACTTAATACCTAAAACTTCTGTTCTTTGTTTAATTTTGAACATTTTCAACATAACACATAATTCCATTCTTGTGCAGCGTAACAAAAATCGTAACGCAGTAGCAAAGCGTTCGGCTGCGGTCTAATGACTACAAACGTCTAATGACTAAAACGTGAGGCCACCTCTATTGCCGCCTTTACATCCATATACACCTACGCATACATGCTCGTTAGTTAAGGCTACTATTAAATAAAGCCCATCTTCAGTATATCGCCAATTTGGTCGATAAACTTTCGTCTAGGGCGTCCCTTCCCGACACTGCAAGATAAAGCTATGTCATTGTCACTCTTTCCTCGTTCATTCTTTCTACATGACCAAACCACCGAAGCATTCCTTTCCCAATAGAAAGGAATGCTTCCCTGGTCACAACATGATCTTGTACAGCACACTTTCCTGTTATCCCTTTCATTCAAATTCATAATGTTGTAGTTAAGTTGTGACCAAAACAAAAATGAACAATTTTTTAGTAAAAAAACTTAAATAGCCATAATATGTACGGATCCCTAATAGAGCTAGGGCCGACTCGCATTAGGCCGGTTATTATACAAATAAAAAAAAATTAACCATCCCCCGTGGCACTAACTCATTATTATACCATAACCAGTATAAATTACCTGCAGCGGCGCTCTAGCTCTACTTCGTAACATATTCATTCATTCACTTTATTGTCTCATTTTTACTTCCACCTTCCACTCATGAGTGAGTGATAAAACATAATGAACTCATTTAAAATGGATATTATAAAATAAATCACAATAAAATTACATATCAAGAAAGATGAACATTAAGTTTGTGTAGCATGTGTAAGACATATTCAAAGCTTGAGACAACAAAAGAAAATCGATATTGTGTGTCTAAACTAATTGAATGCTATAAAAATAAATATTTGACTCAACGTGAATGTATCATCAAAACTTATAAAAACGCTTCCAATACATAGTTTCAAGATTCCGGCTTTGAAGCATGGCTATAAAAAACTTGTTTCGTCTATTTTTTGTTGGTCCGGCCACTGACTTTTAATGATGAAATGGTGATTTTTGACCCTGTATTATTCCGTTTGCCGCATTTTTCAATTACTGTCAAAGCCATGTTTTGTTGTCACATTACTTGTAAGTTTTTAAAAATAATAATGAATTAAAATATCATTACAAAGTGTAAAGGTTATTAAATAATATACAGTTTTCCGATATTGTAATATCTATTTTATAATTGTAATCCTAATTAAGGCTACTTATAACAAAAATAAGTAAGTAGGTAATGGTGTGAGGAAATTTATCACTTCCGGAATGGGCTATAACAGTTCAATAAATTTAGAAGACCTTATTTATTTAAATTACAAAATTAAAACGGCTTTCTCGGTATCAAGAACGTGTTAATATCAAGAAGCTTTTTGATATTAAGCCACTGGAAACACCGCTCTTTCCCGTTATGAACAAGGCTTACTTTTAAATTATAGAGGTAGTTTCTCTCCTGGCCCCAACCTTGTTGTGATTACCATAATAGTAGGTTTGTTAGTTTTACTGGTTGCGCAACTTTACAAGGGTAAAACTTTAATTAATGAACCAACTTTAAGAATCCCAACCAAAGCAGATTATTTTATTTTCCTGCTAGTAGTTGAAATCACATCGGTTTTTAAATAAATTTAATTTTTCAGCCGTATGAGGTGGAGGTACTATCAGTTGTAGCAAAGCAGGTGTATACAAACTGGGTGTACTCCTAAAACATTTTTTTCATGAATTGTTTATTAGAACCGGGTAATTCTTTGATTGATTATTGTTATGAAAAAGGAAAACGTATTTTTTACTTGTTACTTATGGTTTCGCTTTCAAAAGCTTTTCCGCGGCTTATACGCTAACTTTCAGTATATATAAAGGTACTCTGTGACGCTAACAATAAAAGAAATAAATTAAAGAGAACCTAGTATCATTCAACGCGAATACTATATTGCGTAAATTTAAGGAAACGTTATAAATAAATTAAATCCAAAATAAGTATAAATATTTAAACAACATATGCCTATGATATATGTACATGATATGCAATAGACAAAAATAAATGTAATTTTCAAGAATCAAAAGATTATCTGTTTTTAATATTTAGAAAATCGGCTCGACCCAAAGACTTAAACGCATGGACATCGTTGAAGCATCCGCTGTCTTCTCTATTATTTGAAACAAAGTAGACACATTGAATTTAAAATAATTTCCATTTCAAGAAACTATTGAACTGTATATACCTGAAACAAATATTATTTGCCTATTCTGAGAGACAACGTCGAATAGTAGAAAGTATATTCTTTCTTTCGCAAATCTTCTTCTTATCTGTTAGCAACATACGAAATATAGATTTTAGAAAAAAAAAAACTTTACGTTACAAAAGTTTACAGATATTACTTACCTGAGGCGAATTATTGTATGTAACTCGCTGAATATCCACTGAGGAAGATATTAGGGGCTCGTGCTCCTCAGCTCCGGCTGTCATTTTTACTTTAATTTATTAATAAAAAAAAAACTCTTCAACTTAAAATAATATCACATTTATGTTACCACCTAATAATTTTCATAAATATAACTTCACTTCATATGTGACTTTTAGTGCTTTGGCGGGAGTTTTGATGGGACTCACGAGCGTTCCGGTCGCGGCGAATGATGCGTTACACTAGTCACTAGACAGTAGACAGCACGCACGGTCGCACGGTACTGTGGACAAAGTGGGCATAGACTAAACACATAGTGCTCATGCCATCTCTTTGTTTTAATTACCATTTTATTTGTTCTGTGTCTCATGCAATCCGTATTGATAAAATGATAACCTAATTTGGCTAGTACATAGTCGACACAAGACATGATGCTTTCGTTTATTGCAATGGCATACCTATATAGAAGCCGAATACTTTCGATGTTCTTACTTCTTATAACATTACCGTTGCCGCTACAGCTTATCAAAGAACACTGTTGAACTAGGTCTTGCCCATAGATTGCTTCCTAATGGAGATATTTGCGGGTTCAACCGCAGTTTTCTTTTGGTCGTTGTTAGACGCTACTGCCTATCTTCTGATATGTTGCCCTCTGTCGCCTCCTAAGACACCCATGTAACAATATGTTGTAGTGGATATTCTTACACCGCCACTACATGCGGATGTTCTAATTTAGAATACAAAATGAAATAACAAAAATACCGGTATGTAAACGTTTATTCAAAAATCATATTGGAGATAGCAAATAATTAATCGGTAAATTATTTATACAATATTTAAATGAATATCCTTTATTACATTCGTTATTCGTATGAATATAACATGACACATGACAAAGGAACTATTGTATCGTAAGACTTGAGATGATTTAGGTATGACCTTAATAATATGCCTTATAAATATGGCGAAAACTATAATATAAACCTTATAACTAGTTCACAATGACATCGCATAACATACACTTACTCGCTCAAAATATTTGGTAATTTCTCTACCAAGATGACACCTACACTTGCGCTCTACCGAAACAATAAGTCTTAAATATGTTGTATTAAATTAAATTGCTATACATTTCTAATTACACGCTTATATAAAAACAATTGGTGACATCGTCTAAATAAGCACTCTCAACTTTATTTATACATAAATAATACAACTGTATTTACATTGCACAAACGAATATCGTGTACCTAAACACCAAAAGTAGAAAACTATAGAAAGGTATAGTCTTTAGCACTACATAGGAAGCATTAAGGTTATACTGAGCCAGGTTATAACGAGTTACGATCTTGTCTGTTGTATTAGATTACATATAAATTGGTTTATAATAAAAATCACGCTAGCTAAAGTCAGTGTCTTTCAAAATTAGATTTCGTCAGTCATTATCAAAAATTAAACATTAAAAAATGTAACAGCATTTATTACATTTTAAATATAACGGGACGCGAACATTTGAGAAACACTGGTTTTTATATCCAGTACTTTTAATTACAAAAAATATTTATATATTAGCTAATGGTTAACTTTAATTGTATTACGTTTATTATTGTGAATTCAATTTATAGGTCTTACATTTTAAGAAATAAATTTACATTAAACTGTATAATATGTGTTCTGATTAAATATTTAAATGATTATTGATACGAATATGTTTTGCAATATCGATTCTAGGTCCATTGAGAACATGTTCTTATTATATACTGTTGACATATTTTTTTTACATTTAAAAACAATATTCAACATTTATACAAATCTGATATATTATGTACCTTCATACACAACCGGAGTTTATATTTTAAATGGAGATGTGTGCGTGATTAGCTGATTAGGTTCCAAGTACGGATGCAAAGCAACTAATAGAAAAAGCTTTATTAAGCAACTATTACACTATTAAGAACGGTTCTGGTATTTACTATAAGAAAATTGCTTTAAGAAGAAACAACAATAATTACAAATATTGCTTTAGATCAAACAAAATGTAATGAAGCAACGATCCGGGAAGTGCCGTTATTATTTTCTTGAACATCGGTATAGTTTCTCAACGTTTTTTTCACATTTCATTAATACTTCGTCAATAACGAAAATATTAAATACCGAATTAACGAATTAAAACAGAAAAATGCTATATTTCTAACACTGTCTCAAAAATAAATTAATAACATAAGAATATTTCTACGAACGCACACGTTTGTAATGCATGTAAATTTTACTCTTCTGCATTAGAAACGTTTGCGCGAGCAAGAGCGAGATATGTTTCACTGAACTAAATGCAAGCCTAAAACGTGATAACCAACCTAGGAATATCGACAATAATATCTGCAGTAATCCGACTTATTATTTATTACATACATTTTAAAGACACCTAAAATATATGGTTAGTATTTCCATGGTCGGTTTCCGTATATCAGTGTATTTTAAATTATTTATTGGCAGTGAATTTCACAGAATCGTTACATTATAATATATTGGCTTACGAGAGCTTGAGCTTCGACAACTAAGAATATGTTTCCTCTAAAACTTTTATTAACAAGCTTATTATGGAAACTTCACTATACCGCTGAAGATAATTTTCTCATTCACTTTTAGAAAACACTGTCTTCAAATAAAAAATTTTGAACTATTGCGCTATATATTATGATATTATGAAGGAGTCATTTAAGTATTTGTAAATTATAACAAATTTAAGATAAAATTGTAGCAAGTATCTGTTTATCCACGAATACGATTAAATGTTAAGGTGGTCCTTAATTAAAACACTAGTATGTCTTACAATAAAATAAAGTATGTATAGTACAGTCCACCTTATGGAAAATGGTTGCTGTGGCCCACAGACATCTATCTTCTCTTATCATCTATCTTCGATTACATATCAAAATGCAGATGCGTTGTCACTCCTGAGGACTAAGATGGAATGCCCCGTTTCCAGCAAAATGGGTCTCCGGTTCACTACACTCACCATACGAAACACGGCAGCACTAAGCTGCTATTTTACGCTGGTATTCTGTAAGAGCGTGGTCCTTCCCCGCTCGAGCCGAGCCATTCGTGCTACAACTATACCAGTAATATAGCTGCAGCATAGCTCTACCACTTATATCCTATCCTAGAAAACCTACCGGCATTTATCTCACACTATGAGAATATTCATTTATAGTGCAAATTATGACCGTTGCTAGATGCAGACTTTTTAGTAAAATATTAATGTTCATAGCTATAAATGGTTATTTCGAAGAATGTAGTGTCTACCGACGAACGAAGAGCCAATAAATATGGCTAAATAAAAACTAGATATATGTCGATTTACCAGTCCGGATAAGTATGTAAATTTAATGTATTGAACTGGGGCATAACTTAGCAACACAACTGTGATATTTTATTAAAATTATTTAATATTAAATTTAGCCAATACTAGCACTCTTCTTATATAAAAATGAATGTTTCTATGTCTGTCCCTTATACGTTCCTATACCACTCATCCGGTTACGATGAAACTGGAGAATTTTCGTGCACGTCCACGAAGTTTCCTGACAAAAAAGCAATGCAATTGCACCGCATATCGGGTAAAGCCAATGATTTGTGTGTTTGCCATCCTTTCAGTTTAATATACTACAAATATACGTTTGATAGTTTTAATTAAGACCGGTTCAATGAACAATTAAATTACGCAAGGCGAATATGGCAGTATACATTTTTATTGATTTTTCACCCAAACAAATGGTAAAACAAACCCAAACAAGAGTGTAGTTTGTACAACTAACTTCAATATAAATTATTAAGGAGCACCAGCTTTCAAATAAAAAAAGAATCATCGAAATCGGTTCACCGAGAAAAAAGTTATGAGGTAACACACATAAAAAAATCATACAGTCGAATTGAGTACCTCCTCCTTTTTGAAGACGGTTGAAAAGAAGATTTGATTCTTAAATCCTTTAGTAGGTATTAGATAAACGGTAGTTCCGTTCCGTTTGAACTGATCTTATTGTCAAAACATCAACCGCACTTAGCGGTGTTTCGTATAAATAAACGTCGCCGATGGTTCCTTAGCCATCGTGCAACAGATAAGGATCTGACAGATAAGTGGCACAATACACTAACGTTTTTTTTTTATAGGATAAGGGTGACAAACGAGCACACAGTCCACCTGATGGTAAGTGGTTGCTGTGGCCCATAGACATCTACATCTGTCCTCGTTTGCGAATCAAGATGCAGATACGGTGTCTCTCGTGCCTCATTTCCAGTAAAAAGGGCCTAACGATGGTAACTTTTATGGGATCAGCCGTAAAGAGGCTTTGTTGTCTTGTCAACGGCATAAAATAAAGGTTACAATCGTCATCAAACTGAGGAAGCAACAAAATTAATTGAATCCGAATTCAACGTAAAACCAAAAGAAATTCCAGACTACATTTATAGGTTACAATTCCGTGAATATGATTCTACAGTATTATATAATTAATTGCATAAATTAATATTACAATAAACGTTTTGAGAAATATTTCATAATGATTACTAACGCGTAAAAAATTTCCATGATCGTTAGCAAACTCGCAACTCCACCGATATTTATAACTGCATTATAATTACTACATTTGATTGCTATTGAGAAGACACTTCATTAAAATTATGTCACGCTGCATGGATTTTATTCCAGTATTGAAATAGAGTTCATGCATTGTGGAAATCGAACTTTTTATGTTAAAACATTTGGCAATAAACAGAATTTAATTTTTATTATTAAATACAAACTATGCCAACAACTTGCGTTCGCGATACGTTTAGTTTTTAAACACGGCCCTGGGAAGATAGGAAGTGAGATTTACGATTAAATAAAGACTGAATCGTTGTCTTAGCAATATTTATTTCCTCTAGGGCAGATATTTTTCTTAGAATCTTATCAAGTATTTAAGTACAAAGTAATTAATAAATATGAAAATACGCCGATATTTCTATTTTAATTTTTTTTTAATATATTTGAAAAAGATTTACTCGCTTGTTGGGGAAAATGCATTTC